ATAATTATTTCAAAAACAAGAAAGCAAGCAAGCAATAGTGTATCTTCCCCATTAGGAAAAATATATACTAATATTTTACCATTGGCAAATCACTCAAGTGGAAAACGAAATTCGATATTTCTCTCATGGATGTTTCTAACTCTCTATTCCTCTCCCTTCCTCTCTGTAAAAAAATCAATAAAATATATATATTAAAAAAGAGAGAGATAAGGGATTATTCTACATTAAAGGAGACCAAAGAGATGTGATATGTGATTCTGGATTAGATCCTGGGTCAAGGGAAACATTTCTGTAAAGGACACTATGGGGACACTTGGTGAGATTCTAGTATGGCTTATGTATGTTAAATGTTTTTTAAAAAAATATATTTTATTGATTTTTACTGAGACGAAGGGAGAGGGATAGAAACATCAATGAGAGAGAATCATCAATCAGCTGCCTCCTACTGGGGATCAAGCCCACATCTGTTAAATGTTTTAACTTGATAGGGGAACGGTGGTTGTATAAGGGAATGTATTAAGAGACTGTCCTTGCCGTTGCTGTTTTGCCTCAGTGGATAGAGCGTTGGCTCTTGGACTGAATGGTCATCGGGGTTTGATTCCAGTCAAGGACACTTACCTTGGTTGTGGACTTGATCCTGGGCACTGGTCAGGGTGCGTGCGGGAGGCAACCAATCAAATGTGTTTCTCTCCTGTTGATGTTTCTCTATCTCTGTCTTTTCCCGTCCCTTCCACTCTCTCTAAAATCAATGGAGAAAATATCCTCAGGTGAGGGTTAACAACAACAACAAACAAAAAATAAAGAGAGAGAGAGGAGAGAGAATGTCCTTGTCCTTAGGAAATATATGCTTGCCTTTAGGAGTTAAGGGGCTATGATCTTTGCAAACAATTCTCAAATGTTTCAGGAAAAAAATACAGAGAGATAAAGCAAATGTGGGTATGATCTGGGTGAAGGGTATGAACTATACTTTCCATGCAGCTCTTTTCTAGGTTTAATTATTTCAAAAACAAGAAAGCAAGCAAGTAATAGTGTATCTCCCCCATTAGGAAAAATATATACTAATATGTTATCATTGGCAAATCACTCAAGTGGAAAACGAAATTCTTCAAACGCATTTTTCAAAGAATGCATCCTAAAATTGTTTGGATGTTTATCTTTAAAATAAACATGTAAAAAAATGGAATAGAAAATCAGCATTTTTCATGTAATATTGACTTTGTGAAACTTTCAATTACACACACACACACACACACACACACACGTATACATACACACACATACCAGTGTATTAGATCACAATGTTTAATGCACTTCTGACTGTGGGTTAGTTTTGAAAAATCTTTAAAAGCCATTCTGCTACAGTATCTCTAATAGGATGACTCACCTGACAACTTACCTGAGACAGTTCCTTTGTGCCTGTTGTGGCGTAACAGCAAACCCACTCTCTAGCAAAAGTGTTCCCACTTAGATGATTAATTATAGTTGCTCTTATTTTAAGCCAATTTAATTCCTTTTCATAACAAAGCACAGTATACATAACTATGTTTGGTGACCAAAAAGGACTTGAACCTTTTAAAAAAATGAATTTATGTATTATTTATATGATTAAAATTTTTTTTAAAGTTTTCTTTACTAATAGTATTAAGTAGTTTTGTTATCCATCCCTTGGGATTATAATGAAGTAGATAATTATAATGAACTAGAAAACAGTAGTTTTCTATTACATGGTTTGGGGATAAATGCCATTTCCAAGAGAGCTATTTAAAATGAGAAAACACCTAAATATGGCTGTAAAGAACACAAACTCCACTGACTTTTAGTATTAATTTATAAAATACACATCAAACATTGCAAAGCAACTAGGATAAACATAGTAGCTTTAAAAATATTATCTAAATCCTGTTTGTAGGGAAGAACTTGGTAGACTACTACATACTGAGGACTTTTAAATTATGAAATCTAACATTAATTTCCTTTCTATTTACCTTCCAATAACCAGTCAGACATCCACCCAATTACAGCACTGAAGTGGCTTATCAGTGAACTTATCACAGCTGGAGGCTCAACCCCGCAGGTAATAGCCACCATCACCCATTGAGACGCTGTCCCAAATAAAGTCCAAATGACCAATGTCTTATAAGTAAGCACCCTCCCTCCCAACCTGTTCAAGAGAGCTCACCTGCCAAAGTCACTGACATACACACACTTAAAGTTCATTACCCACAATTCAACCTTCCATCAATCTGAAGATGGGAACATCTTAAGCAAACAAGAACCAGTTGCTAATCATGAATAAAAGCACCTAAAGGTACACAACCCTAAAGGGGGCTAGCTTTTCCTTGCAAATCCCTCTGACTTCAAAATCAAATTTTATTCCTTTTGCAGAGTGCAAACTTGAAAGCAGCAGGGATTTGAGATCAAACAGCACTGGGATCACATTATAGGGTGAAAGGGATGTTTTAGTTCACCAATGTTTCATGGACCCTGAAACTGAGATGAATGCCAGGCATTGGATGCAGCACAATGGGTACCAATCCACGATGAAGAGGTCTAAAGACAGGATGTTGAATTTTTACTAAGAGGATTTTCAAGCTGTTTTTCATCGGGGGAAAGAATCAAAATGATCCTCCACACTGGTTAGCAGAAGAGACAGTGCAGAGACCAACCAAGCCAATGACAGGGTGACTAATTTGGGATTAGAAATGGTCTGTTTTATTTGGGGCCTTTTACTGTACATGTTTCAGGATAAACTGAATTGAATCCATATACGGTGGCAATACAAAGTATAACTAAGTGAATTTGAGTTTCAGAAGATAAATGGTCACATTATAAACCACTTTTGTTTTGTTTCAAATCATCTTAAACCTAAATGATAATTCTGATGGATTATCATGCACAATTTCCCACATTTATCAGAATTAAGTACATTTTCAATGCAACCTTCCAGTCAATACATGCATATATGGTTGTAGTGGATGTACACACAATTTCGTGTTTTCTTTTAATCCTCACCTGAGGATATTTTTCCATTGATTTTTACAGAGAGTGGAAGAGAGAGGGACAGACTGAGAAATATCAATGTGAGAGTAACACATCGATTGGTTGCCTCCTGCACGCACCCTGACCAGGGCCTGGGCTGAGGAAGAGCCTGCAAACAAGGTATGTGCCCTTGACTGAAATGGAACCCAGGACCCTTTGGTCTACAGGCCGATGCTCTACCCACTTAGCCAAACCGGCGAGGGCCATCTTTGTTTTTAAAGATTTTTATTGATTTCAGAGAGGGAGGGAGAGGGAGAGAAACATCAGTGATGACAGAGAATCATTGATCAGCTGCCTCCTGCACACCCCACACAGGGGAATAGAGCCCGTAAGCCGGCATGTGCCCTGACCGGGAATTGAACTGTGACCTTCTGGTTCATAGGTCGATGCTCAACCACTGAGCCACACTGGCCGGGCTCATGTTTATCTTTTTTAAAAAAAATTATTTAATTTTATTGATTTTTTATAGAGGGAGAGTTAGAAACATCGATGAGAAATACTGATCAGCTGCCTCCTGCACACCTCCTACTGGGGAGGTGCCCGCAAACAAGGTACATGCCCTTGACTGGAATCGAACCTGGGACCCTTCAGTCTGCAGGTGGGCGCTCTATCCACTGAGCCAAACCAGTTAGGGCCTCATGTTTATCTTTTAAAAATTAAAAGTTAAGGGCGCCAGGACCTTGCCATCTACACTAATAAAAGAGAAACATGCAAATTGGTGTCACTCTGCTGTACCTACCAGCCAATCAGGGTGATATGCAAATTAACCCAACAAAGATGGCAGCGGCCATGGAGCTGGAGGTTTGGGTTGCCTTTGGCGATGGAGGAAGCCAAGCTTCTAGCCTGCCCTGGCCTCTGCTGAAGGAGTGGCTGGGGGCCTGGGTCGCTGGGGACCTGGGGAGGTGGGGCAGGCAACGCCAGATGCAGCTGCTAGACGCCCCCCATGGGTTAATTTGCATATGCAGGCCCCAAGCAAAGACTGAAGATGACTGAAGACTTAAGAGGCTTGGCTTCTCCACTCCTGCTGGGGCG